CCCAACAGAATGCCAGAACCGGCACCCATTATAATGCATGTATCGCCGCGTGCGGGAGACCAACGATCAGACTTTGGGTATACTGTGGCCAAGAATACAATCAACGGAATTGTTATAAATGGCGAATAAGGACTCGTCAGATGGAACTGATCGATGGCGTCAACCAATGGAATGATTATTATCATCAAAAATGCTGTTAATAGTAGACCCGCTATAATGTCCTAAAATTAACTTTAAGTTAATTATAATAAATTTAAGAGTTATTTAAGACTTACAATAACGGAATGCATTCCTAAATACAGACGACTTCCGCAAACCAATACACACCAGAAGATTGCGAACACAATTCCAACCCATAATGAATACTATTGTGAACACAATTAATAACAATTAGATCCATAAGATATGAAGCAAACAAAAACATGTCATATCTTTACTTCATATCTGTTTAACGTAAAGATGACGAGAGAGACGGGAAGAGCGGATCCGACCATAGCGTGAGTGGAAGGCATTCCGTATTCGACCGCATATTCGGGTTCGAGGACTACGACCGGCGGAGAGTGAGGTCGCGGCCATTGGATCACATCCTTCAACGCCTGTCCGAAATACATGACAATCACCCAAACGAGGACAAGACGTCTTCCGACAGCGCTGTCTATATTCCAGAACCAAAGCGGGAAAAAACTGGCGTAAAATGTCTCGTATCCAAGACTCGCACCAAAACTGAACAAATAGTACCAAAACTTGTTTTCAATCGCNTGAGGACTGTTAAGAAGGAGACATTAAAGTTGATTACCGGTTGGGTCTCGCGATCGACAGATCCTCAGTTAGTGCTCGACAACTTCATCCCTCCATTACTGGATGCGGTTCTTCTCGATTATCAAAGATGTTCTGTGCCTTCAGCTCGAGAACCAGAAGTGCTCTCAACTATGGCTACAATTGTCAGCAAATTAGAGGTATTTTGCATTTGAGTGAAAGACTAAACAGTTTCTAATGAATGGTTTGTTTCCAGAATCACATCACTTCCGAAATACCAAAAATATTTGACGCCGTCTTTGAATGCACTCTAGAGATGATAAACAAAGACTTTCAGGAATTTCCTGAACACAGAACCAATTTTTTCCTTCTGTTGCAACAAGTGGTGACCCATTGCTTCCAAGCCCTCCTCAACATCCCTCCCACACAATTCAAATTAGTGTTGGACTCAATCATATGGGCCTTTAAGCACACGATGCGCAACGTGGCCGACACCGGCCTCTCGATCCTCTTTAAACTGCTCGAAAACATTGGCACTGAAGAGACAGTTATGCAGAGTTTCTATCAAACATACTATACAGACATTGTTCAGCACATGTTTTCAGTGGTGACCGACACTTCGCATACGGCGGGACTGCTAATGCAGGCCAACATATTGGCCTATATGTTCTATATAGTCGAGTCCAACAAAATCACCAGTCCTTTGAACCCAGCCGTACAGACCAGCGCTCAGACGAATATCCAATACATTCAGGAATTTGTAGCCAATCTGCTGAAGACGGCGTTCCCTCACTTGACTGAAGCCCAGATCAAGATCACTGTTCAGGGCTTCTTCAACCTCGACCAAGACGTGCCCGCCTTTAAGGAACACTTACGAGACTTTCTCGTCCAGATTAGGGTATGTCTCCACTCAACTGCACGCCATTTGATTCACTCGACACTTGAATTAACGGTTTGTCTGTCTTTGTTTGCATTAGGAGTTTGCCGGCGAAGACAACAACGATCTATTCCTCGAGGAAAGAGAGGCCTCCTTAAGGCAGAAGGAAGAAGACAAGCGTCGAATCCAACTATCAGTTCCGGGAATTATTAATCCTCACGAAATGCCTGAAGAGATGGCAGACGACGACAACTGATTGATGGCAACAATCTCTCAAAGAATTGAATTATTTTATTGCTTTAGTATTAGAATTTAAATAAGAATTTCATAACTAAATGAAACAAATCTATGATTTTATAACAGAATAGAGAGAAATGAACCAAATTTAGTGATTCCTAAGTATATTATATTTGTTAACTAAAATTATAAGACAAAAAAATTGGGAAAATTTTTTTAGAGAGACATCTAATCAGCGATTCACTGGTGGACTAAATTGACTCTCAAAGAGTCGTCATTAAAACAAGTGTTTATATATTAGTATAATATTTATGATATGATTGAGTGTTAGTTTTAAACAAATTGAATGAATGGATGTGTGATTACTGTATGAATGTGTCTATTATTGTCTCAATTATTGTAATTTTATGTAAATCTGAAGATCCGCTCATTTTTTCCATAAATTCATTTTCACTTCAATTCTTATATGATTTTGAATTCAATTATCGATTAATACAGAAATTATTGATTAAAACAAAGTTGTGATAAAAGCTATTATTTCTTTATATAATATATTGAATATTAATAATAAATTTATTGCCATTTATTGTCTCTTCTATAGCATTGCCACCAAATATTGACAATTGGTTTCACATTCAATCCCTAATTTCTAATACAACTACTAATTAGTAAATCATTAAATTTAACACTAATTGTATTATTGTTTTCTATAATAAGTCCAAAAAGCAAACAAATATCAAGACTTGATTTTGTCAACAGTTTAACCAGTTTTTCATATTTAATGATCAAAAGTAATAATAAAAACAAATAATTTCTTAATTTATATTTGCTTTTCGTTCATATTATTCACAATTAATAACAATGCAATGCAAATACGCCCGCATCCACTCCCCATCCACTCCCCCCACACCCCCTCCCCCTCACACCACAGGTCAAAGTGTGTGAACTGTTGTGAACGTATGAAAAGCAGTGCTTACTATTGGTTGAGTGGAGTCGTGTCTCAGTGTCTCACCATTTGTGCCAAAGTGTGTCCAAAGTTTGATTGAAGTGTGAATGAAATGTCGCGAAACGAGTCGACCGTCGAGTCGTTGGAATACATTCGCAGAGAAAGAGAACTATTAATGCAATTGAAGTACAAAATCGATGAACAGAGGAATCGATTGCTTCTCGAAAACACGTGTCTTAAAAGCCATTTGGAAAAGAACTTAAACCCATTGACACCATTGAAAGCAATGGAACCAATGGAAGCACTGGAACCAATGGAACCAATGAAAGCAATGGATGTGAATAACACTCCCGACCGACACAACCCATTGTGGCCACCCATTGGACCGGCACTCGATCTCTCGCCTCTCAGACAATCCGATGACAACACCGACGAAGAGGACGAAGAGATGGAGTGATGAAGTGATGATCGTTTCCACACATTGTTTCAAATTAATTATATCTTCTATTTTTGTATCCAATTATGTATTCATTTCTTAACACTTAATGTGATATCAATTATACTATAAAATGCAATATTTTTCTGTAATAATCTTTTTATTGATTTGCAATAAAAGCAATTGAAAACAATTCAAACAAAACTATTAAATAAATTATTAAAATTTGTTTAAAAAATTGGTTCACATTTAGGATTGAAAGCAAAATATTGTTGCAAAATGTCTAATATATAAAAAAGTTTAAATTTAAGGGACAATTGGTCTAAAACAGTGTCTAATGGTGTAAATGGTGTTCATACTTAGCTGACGACATGTATTGTATATTAATTATAATTATCACTAAATTTATATTTATACTGTATATTGTGGTCACTATTTCATTAAAGTGTTGGCACTTTTATTCAAATGGTTTGCATTTGGTTTACATTTGTTAACTCAAAGGTGTGTTTTAGATAAAGCATATAATTTGGTATCAAATTAACAACGAGTATAAAATTAGTTGTCATATCTATTGTCAATAGGCTTTTGACTTGTGCTTAACTTATTATTATTATTGCATTCATTGTAAGACCAAATGTGTTGAAAACAATTGATTTGTGTGATAATTAGGTGTCAAATATAATTCGTGTATTCATTAATTCAATACAAAATAATCGTTTTAAAAAACTATTTAGACTTCAAATTACTAACTAATAAAACATTTGACTCGAAAATCAATGAATACATAAAAACTTGAAAAATGAAAGTCAGTTGAATGACAAGTCGATTAAAATTTATGAAAATTATATTAATAATAAATACTTTGAAATTATTTAACAAAAAACACTAGATTTCTGTAAACATTGTCACTCTTTCAATGTTTAAGAACCTAAAGACTACAGGAGACAAGTAAGTGATGGTAATTCCCATTGCCATATAAGTGATCACTTTACAGGGAACTTCTACCGATACTCGTATTTTATTCTTGGGATCTCTTGGGTCCAAATTTCGTATATAACACAACAGTGAGAACACCAATAACTTGCCGATGGCTCGAGCGGCCACTGATTGCCAATTAAATTATGTCAACATTAATCAAACGGTAAAATTTGTTAAATGATTAGTTCATTACCGATACATAAGATGCCAATTGATAGTCGCAGAGCAGACAGTCCTATGACCCCATATCCGGGCCATAATATTGGAAATGGAGGCGGAAGTGCCGGACCTTTATATATGCCTAATTGGAAGTTAAGCCAAGAGCCCAACAGAATGCCAGAACCGGCACCCATTATAATGCATGTATCGCCGCGTGCGGGAGACCAACGATCAGACTTTGGGTATACTGTGGCCAAGAATACAATCAACGGAATTGTTATAAATGGCGAAT